CTTAGTCATAAGGAGATGCGGGAAGTGGGCAAAGGGAAGGAACAGTAAAACATTAAAATGCAATATTTATGAATATAATTTCTCCACAATGAATGTATTCATTATTTATCAAAAATATGTATTTAAAAAATAGATGCAAAGCCTCTTGTGGACCAGACTGAGGACAGATACAGAGGGGGAGAGTCAGCTAGGCAGACCTAAAGCTTGCGGCACCCAAAGCAAGCAGAGTCTTCCAGAGCAGCCACGAGTGTCTGATGTATCTGTAGCTGGCTATGAGGCACTCAGGGCATCCACAAAAAATAAATAAACAAAAAATATGTCTTTGGGAATATCGAGTGCTTCTCTCTGTCTCAACTGCAGCACATGGTGAAGCAAAACTGCTCATCTCATGGCTGAAAAATGAACAAAAGAGGGCATGAAGTCCCACAAGGCCCTTTGAGGGCAAACTCTCACCCTTGCCATGACCTAAGGCCTCCTATTGGGTCCCCCTTCTTAAAGTACCATCCCCCGGCCACGTCTTCACCTCAGAGACCTTTGGGGGACACTCAGGAGTATCTGCAAGGAAAGAGGCAGCTTGGATTGGCAGAGAAGAGATCTCTGGATCAGGGCCACAGAAACATGAATATAGCTTCAAAACTCTGTATGCTGGAATCCCTTAGCTTGGCGCTACCGGTGCACTGTATCCAGATTCCACCCCAACATCCCCTTCCACCCTGGGCACAGAGACCTCTGCCCCTCCCCTGGTCCAACACACCTTCCCCTCCCACTCATCCCTGGAAGGCCACAGGGCACCCCTTCAGGTCCATCTCCCCAGGGTGCCCCCTGACTCCCCCTCTTCCTGGGGTCTCCAGGATTCGAGAATGTTTCTCTACCTGCTTGCCTCTGGGCATCAGTTCTCAATCCTTGATACCTGGTACAAGGCCAAAAGCAAGGCAAACTTCAAAAGAGCATTCTTTGGTTGAATATCCATGGGTATATGATTCTGTCTTGTAGACTTGGATCTAGGAAAAGAATTAGCCATGATAACAGCACTTAGAGGATAGGCAAGTTAATTCTCTAAAGCCTCAGTTTCCCTGTCATTCGGAGATTAGAAATGATATTACAGTATTTTACATGTGCATGTGTAAAATATAATTCTCTCTCTATATATATCTTCTGGCATTATAAATTGGATCTCCAGGATAGCACTGGTGAAAACTTCAAGTGTTAGATCAATATATTTGCATGTTGCGTGAGCTCACGTGTCTGCTGGTGTGTTACTTATTTAACCCCTCACTTTAAAATCAGACTAGGGGCATGACCTGGGACTCTGGATTGTAGTTCCGAGAATGGCCACCAGAGAGAAGTGTTGAGCAGCCTGCGGGGGTGGGGGGCGGGGTGGCTGGCTTCGCACGGCTAAGGCTCCTGCTGAGCACCCAGATGGTAGGGCTGGGGTTTCCGGGGCTTCCCGGTCCTTGAACAGGTGGGCACTGGCCAGGGAGTCGCGGGAAGAGCCACCGTGATGTGCTCAGTCCCTTTTCCATTTCAGAGAGCAGTTGGCGGGCTAAGCCGTTGGAGTAATTTATCCCCTGTAATCTGTGATTTGTCTTTTACCCTTGATTATGGTCATTTCTTCTGTATTGAAGTTTTTATAGTCAAACTTACCGTTTCTATGTTTCATCGTGCTAAGAGAGCCTTTTCAAACCAGAAGTGGTGATGCACACCTGCAGTTTTAGCATTCAGAGGGCTGAGGAGAAGGATCACGAGTTTGAAGCCAAGGTTGGGCTACATGGCAAGACTCTGTTTAAAATAATCATAATAGTAATAATAATAATGTAGTTGAAAAAATAACAAAGTAGTTGGGCATGGTGCTGCATGCCTGTAATCCCAGCAATCAGGAGGCTGAGGCAGAAAGATTGCCATGAGTTTGAGGGCAGCCTGGGCTACATAGTTCAAGGCCAGGCTGAATCACATAGAGAGACCCTGATTAAAAAAAAGTGTTGTCCATCTCTAGGGTTACCAAATCACTCATTTATGTTTTCTTTTGGTTTATTATGGTGTTTTTATTTAAATATCAATCGAGGGGGATAGGGGATTAAGATATGCTATATATATATTTCCCCCCAAAAATGTAATTATTGTATACCATAAACATGCACCAATAATAAAAATGTTGCTCCACCTGGAATTTATTTAGTTGTAGATAAGAACACATTGAGCTTTCATTTATGTCCCCAAATGACCTGCTGGTTAATGAAAGGCAGTCTTTCCCCCATTTATCTGAAGTCCAGTCTTTATCATACAATGAATTCCCGTGTGTGGCTGGTTCCACTCATTTTATTTTTCTTGTTTTAACAAATTAATGAGGCTCAGCAAGATAATTTGATACATGTATGGCATGTAATGATCAAATTGGTAGTTAACGTTTCCTTTTCAAACTTGAAAAGATTTTTTTTTCTCTATTGGAGATTGAACCCAGAGCCTTCTCACAGAGCCACATCCTCAGTATTTTTTTGACAGGGTCTTGCTAAGTTGCCCAGGCTGAGCTTGAACCTGTAATCCTCCTGCATCAACCTCCCCAAGTGGTATGATTACAGAAGTGTTTTGCCATGCATGGTTTTTCTCAAAAAACCTTTTTTGATTAATATATAGTGGTTGAACTTATTTAGTGTAGTGTGTTACTCCAGTACATGTAGACTTTGTACTGACCAAACCACAGTAATTTATGTTTCTGATGTTTATCATTATTTGTGTTTGGGGACTTCAAGTTCCTCTCTTCTAGTAATTTACAAAGTATATAGTAGGCTATTATGAACTACAGTCATGGGTCATCGCTATTTCTCTCTTGGGATTGAACCCAGGGCCTTGCGTATGCTAGGCAAGTATTCTACCCCTGAGCCAATCCTCAGCCTAGGTCCATTTCTATGCTCCATTTGTTTCCCTGATCTATCTAGTTCTGCTTCAACACCATTCTGCTTTAACTACATTGACTTTATAGTATGTGGTTATATCAGGTAAGGCAAATTACTTTATTTGCCATACTGTGGATTGAACCAGGACCTTCACACTGAGCTACATCCCCAGTCATTTTTTATTTTTTATTTTGAGATAGGTTCTTGCTAAGTTCCTAAGTTTCCCGGGTGGAGCTCAAACTTGTGATCCTCCTACCTTGGCATCCCAGCGTGCTGGGATTACAGGGAACTTTTTTTCATTACTTTCTTCTGAGATTTTTCTACTCATATATATTTGTTCTTCCATACTCACTAAAGAACCAACCCCTACTCACTTCATCCTTCTGGAAGCCCGTATGGAACTTTGGACACTTGATACTGTATGCAAAATGTACATCTGCACATACCTCTAGGAAGAGAGTCAAGGTTTTCATCAGTTGTGCAAAGGAAGCACCTGGTTTACCTGTCTCTAGACAGAAACAAGGCAAGGGCACAAAGGATGCTGGATCCTCTCTTCTCTTTCCATTCTTTACCTCCTCCATTGTCTCTGATATTTCCTGGAATCCCACCTTCCCTCCCCTAATCTACCTCTACAAACACACCACGGATCCAGAGCAATGGTTCACCACCAAGGCCCTATTTCTAAGCCAAGGCCTGGTGTAGATTAGATGACAACATTTCAACTAGTAAGTAAATCAAATCATGAGTCCCAGCTTCACTTCTGACCAGCAATGGGACCCAGTTTAAAGCTCTCTGCATACCAGACCTCAGTTTACCCTTCCACAGACTATGTGAGAAAGGAAGAAATAGGATAAGGGGTATGAAAAAGAAAGGGCTGGCTATTGTCAGAAGGTCTTTTAGTCCCAATTTCCATTATTTCCTACCTTCCCAGTCCCCATGCACATTTTAATTCATGCCTGCTTGCTTTACCAACCTCCAGCACATATTAATAATTCTCTCCTCTTTGTGAATGAATGAAATTAAGAACACTGGAGCCCAAGAGTGGAACTGACCAGTCATAAGCAAGTTTAAACACAGCAAGCTGGAAGCCATGACTGTATGTGAGACTTCATAGTGTCCCCCTCACATCCCCAAGCTGCTCAGGACTCATGTAGTCCACTTAGGAGTTCAAGTAGGCATGTGCCAAGGCCTAGAACAGGACACCTCAAAATACTGCTGACATTTTGGACTTGACAATTCTTTAGTCTGGCTGGCCTGTGCATTGGAGGAAGTCTGCTAGCATCCCGGGTCTCTAACCACTAGATGCCAGCACCTCCTACACACACCCACATACACAAGCTGTAAAAATAAAAAATCTCTAGACATTGTCAAAAGTCCCCCGGGGGAGAAAATCCCAGGTTGAAAATATTGCACTCAGAGAAGCCGGCAGGTAATTTAACTTGCAAGGTGAACACTCCTTTAGTCTCTGTGCAAAAAGGACGCTGAAAGGTCGTGTTGTTCATAGCAAGCACTTAGATAAGTCTTTTTCTTCTGAGTTTCCTTTTCATCTGTAAAATGGACTTGATGTTTGTAAGTTGTTTCTCCTTCTCTCACCATCTGATGCTTGGGTGGAGCATCGAGCACCGCGGTGCCAGTGAGGTCCTCAAAGGGAAGGAAGGATGAGAAAGAACAGATGGCAGGGGTGATGATGGAGGGGGGCGGCCAGGCAGGCGGCAGGAGTGTCCTAAGGACAGGGATGAGGCTCCAGGTGGCCCCAGATCCCGCATCTGTTCTTTTGAGGGCCATTCCGCGCCGTCTAGAGCGCCACCATCTAGAGACCTACCCCACGTAGGCACAGTACCTCCGACTCCACGAACCTTATTCCGCAGGCCCCGCCCCGCTCACAGGCCCCGCCCACCAGACAGTGCCCCGCCCCTTCAGGCCCCGCCTCCCTCTTCGCCTCCCGCCAGCCGGGGCTGGGGCTTTGCACCCGGTGGCTGCTGAGCACCGTGGCGGTTGCAGAATCAGCGACGCAGGCGGTCGGAGGGGAGCTGCCTGGCCCGGTGGCGGGCGATGCCCCCGTGAGCTTTTCTCGCCGCCCCTCCCCGCCCCGCGTTCCCACCCGCTCAGAGTCTGGGCCACCCGGGGGCCGGACCGCGCCTACCACCGGGTCCGCGGGGCGGGGTCCCGGGGCGGCACCTGCCCCGCCTTGCGGAGCCGCCTCGGCCTGCGGAGCCCCCTCCGGGTCTGGACGCCAGCCCCACCACCCGGTAAGGCAGCAGGCCTGGCTCGCCTGAGAGTGGAAGTGGGGAGGGGGCTGCGGTGCGGCGAGCGCGCAAAGGGAGGGTTCCGGCCACGAAACGCGGCGTCGGCGTCTGAGTGTGCAGAGCCTGGCTGGGGGGCGGGGGCCGAGTCACGACGTGGGGACGGGGGACTAGGGGCAGGGGGACTCAGGGAAGCCTGGAAAATGGGGAAGGGGACCCCAGAGACTGGAGTTCTTTGCTGTTGCTCAGGGCACCTGGGGCCTTCGTCTTCAACAGCATTGCCTTGCGTGGCATTTTTGGAAAGTGCTTCAGATCCTGCCTGGAAAGGGAGCTGGAAGGCAACCTGCCTTTCTCTCTCCTGCTTGTGCCCTGGTTGAGAGGCAGCCACTTTTTCCTCCCAACATGACACCATTATGGGCCCAGAGTATCTTCCACTCCATAAGAAAAAAAAAAAAAAAAGATGGGTGGTGCGGCTCCATCCTTAGGGTAAGAAGAGGAAGACTGGAAGAGACGGTAACTGCGTGGCGTGGTGGGGAGCACAGGGTTCAGGGAGGGTTGGTGGGACCCTTGGTGGACAACTTGGACACCTTGTCCTTCAGGCAGGGTATCTTAAATGGCTGGCCTTCTGGCTGCCTAGATCCTATGTCCCGTCACCTTCTCTGGACAACCCAGCTCTGAGGAGTGGAGGTTCTTCCTGGTTATGCTGGGTCCGGAAATTCAGCGGCAGCCCATAGCTCCTGTGGCCCTGGATTGAGGAGGGCAGTGCTCCTACCCTAGGCTAGAGATTAGGGGCACATTGTCTGACACTGCTCGTTGGGGGACGGTTTAAATGTTGCCCTTCAGCGTTCAGGAACCTGGGTGAGTTTCAGTCCAAATGTAGCCCTAGGGTGTTGCCTGGGTGTCAGGAGGAAGGCTGCTACCCATAATGACTTCTCAAGTCTGTGGTCCTTGGATTGGGCCTGGGCACCAAAAGGTTAACAAGCCTTTCTCTTAGTTGCTGCCAGCCACCAATTAGTCTGTAATCATGCAGCTGCCAAGTGTCCCTAGGGGCATGTGGTCAGCCTAATGGGGCATTCTCTGTTTGGGCAAGGGCCTGCTGGGGATGTGGCCCATGCAACCTGTGCTTAAACCAAGCACTAAGGCCTTTTGGAGTTTGCTTAGGGCCCACAGACCCCTTCTCTTCTCTCTGTGTGCCGCTGCCTGGCTTAGGCACTTCCTGGGGTTCTACACTTACAGGGTATGAAGCTCTGAGCAGTTAAACTTGGCTTGAAACCCAGGCTCTGCCACTTTCTGGCTATGTGATATTAAATAAATCACTTCCCCTCTCTGATCCCCTTTCAGTAAACAGACCTATCAACTAGGAGTAAATGAAATGGTGGATTTGAGCAGCTTAGCCCAGTGCCTGGCAATCAGGAGAATCCAGTAGACAACTCCTGAACTCTTGAGTAACTCCCATGCCAGGTATTTTTTGAGGGAGATATGCAAGAGCCAGATGCTAGGGACCATAGTCCCTTCTCTCAAGGCATGTGGTCTGTGTCATTGTCTTAGCTGTTCTGTCTCCCTTCTTGCTCACCAACACTTCTGATCTCTGGATATTAATTGGATTTTACTCTGTGGAGTTCAGGCCTGAAGCTGCTACTCTGGGTTTCTCTTCTTCCTGCCCAAGTGCTGAACTCAGTGGGATCTGTCAGGGGTCTGGGTGATGTCTGCAGCTGCAATAGCAGCTAGCCCTTTAAGGAGGAAAAAAAAAAAAAAACAATTATCCAGGCTGGGCATTGCATCAGCTGAAGCCTGGAGGGTCCCTGGGGAGAGAGGGGGCAGGCTGGTGGTTGATTTCATTAGTGCCATGTGAGAAGTCTCACCTGAGTCTACCCCACTCCCCAGCCGCAGCCTTCTCCCTAGGCAACAGCAGCTCCAGGGCCCCTTCCCACCCTGGGAGCCCCACTTTAGAGTACTGTCTCTGCACCCCCAGGCAGAGAGGGTGCGGGGAAGTACCACACACAGCCCTTTTGCTGATGTGGCAATGTCTTTGCTGTTGGCTTTCTACTGACTTAGGGTACAGGGTATATCTCCTGTATTGGCAGTTTGCTGACCATGGGGGTACCTCCACCAGTACTGTTTGGCTGATCTGGCGGTGTTTCTCTCCCACACTGGCATTTTTTTTTTTGATGCAGGGGAGGAGCGACTTTTGACACTGGCCTCTAGCACTGACAGTGAGGCTATCTCCCACACTGGTGGACCGCTGACCTTCAAGAAGAGCTTCGTGGTCTGGAGGTGTGGACTGAGGGCGTGGGTTAAAAACAAATGTTCTCTGAGTGCAGGGGAGCTGGCATGGTTTGGTGAGTCACAGAGGTGTGAGGTCTGGGGCCGAGAAGAGATGTATCCTCTGTGCTCCGTTTCCATCCTGTTGCCATTTCAGATGTTATCCTAAACTCCTGAGCCTCAGTCTCCTCTGGAAAATAGAATTAATTTGCATCCATACCCACCCACTCCATCTGGAAAGAGATTAGGAAATGAAGTGAAGTAATCTGATACACAGCCCCTAGCCCATGGCTGGCAGGTAGAAGGGACTTAATTCACATGGGGGTTCTCCTCCCCATGCAAGGTTGGGCTTTTCACACTTGGAGCTCAAGATACCTGGACAAGAAACCAGAGGATCAGGGAGGAGTGGTAAGAAAGGAAAAAGAATACAGGACTTTCTTGCTTCTTGCAGAAGGATGCACTTCAGTCCACTTGGAACTAAGGAGGTACCAAGCTCTGTGAACTGGTATACCCCTGCCTCGTGGAGCTGGCATTCTAGCAAGATCATGACAAGATAATTACAGTGTGATAGGCATTGAAAGGAGGAACTTGGAGAGGCTGGGAGTCCATCACTGGAGGTCCTCACCTGTCCTTGAGTCTGGGAAGGTCTCCTGGAGAAAGTGACACTTTGCTGAGGCATGAGGGGTACCAAGGAGTCAAGGGGACATACATGGAGATGAAGAAGGGCATCATGTAGGGCCTGGTATAATGGGGAAAGAGGCCCAGGTATGGCAGGGCTGGACCTTAATCTAGCAGGATATTTACTGGAGGGGTTCAAATTTCTCCAAAGGCCAATGGCAGCCCCTAAAAGATTTTAAGCAGAGAAAAGGGTCAGATTTCCTAAAAGTATAGGCTAGGGTCCATGGATTTCAGGCAGAGCCTTCACGCAGTGACCTTTTGACTTCTCCTACCCTCTATCTGCGTAGCAGCAGCTTTGGCACCCAGGGAGTGCTTGTTTGTGTGGCTTGTCCCAGGAGAAAGGGGACCAGTCTTAGTCCCTCCAGCTCCCTCTCTCTGGGATAAACTGCATCTCAGCCTTGTTGACAAAGCTTAGCCCTTTGGGGCCAGGTTTTCTTAACCTCCCTGGAGAACCGGAAGGCAAGAGGCAGGGCTTTGGCACCAGACTGACCTGTGTTCACATGCTAGCTCTGCAGCTCATGTACAAGGTACACCCCATCTCTGAACGTCAGTGTCCTCAACTGTATAATGGGGTTAGTATTAAACTTTCTGTATAAAGGATAAAGTGAAATTCTAGGTAGAAATCACAAAGCCCAATCTCAGTCAGTTGGCTTTTTTACTCTGTTTCATGGATGTTGATACTTACTCTGGACCAGGTGCAGGGCTGACTGGGGGTAAAGGGAGTGGGTTGTAAGAGTTCGTGAACTTAGAAAAAAAGACTCTGTACTCTGTTTAATTATCTGTTGTCCCCATCTTGAAAGTCTTAATAGTTTTGAACAAGGGATGATCCTGTGTTTTCTTTTAATACCGGCCCTTGCATATTACATAGCTCACAGATCACTGAGGGGTAGGCTGAGGCAGGGAAAGACAGACTTGCAAGTAATTCCTCCTGGAGAATATAAAAGGTGGAGGGCACAACTTAGGTGGAGCACTAATCATAGGAAGGATTGTTTGATGCTTACTGTGCCCTGGTGATGTCAAGCACTTGCCATGCTTGTCTTCAAGCAGCTCAGTATAACTATTGTCTACACCGTATAGATATGAAGAAACAGATTATTTGGCCAAAATCACACAGCTATCAAGTGGTAGAGGCAGGACTCCAAGCTAGATTGTCCAGCTGCAGAGCATAGGCCTGGGCCAGGGAAACCGGCACTCAGGAGAAGGGTCCTCCTGAGCTGGCCCTGAAGGAGAACTTGGCTTTGCCCAAGGAGAAAACGTTGCCCAGGGAAAAGGAGGGCATCCTCAACTGGAAAGTGTCTGCTGAGAAGGGAAGCCAAACTTCAGCTTCCAAGGGCTGAGCGAAGGTAACCTTTGGGTTTCAGGATTCTGAGTTTCCAAGCTCAGGGCCCCTGGTCCTTCTGCCACCGGTTCTGCTTTTCCCATGACTCCCCAGAACTGTTGTGCTCTCTTTTCTTTCCATTGACCCCTCCTTTGCCATTCCTCATCTCTACTATCCTAACTAACGCTGTCTTCTGGATTCGGGGTTTGCATATCTCACTGCTTCCTGGACATAGACATTCAGCCTCAGGCTCAAACCCAAGTCCCGAGCTTTACCCACCCACACCTGCTCTGCTTCCAGGGTCCCCAGCTCCTCTCTGGTACCATCATCCACCCACTTGCTCAAGCTGGAAGCTGGAAATTCTCCTGGACTCTTCCCCCTCCTCGCCTCCACATCCTACAGCCAAGCCTCAACAAGTCTTGTTAGTTTTCATGAATACCTCTGGGTTTAAGGACCCTCTTCCTGCCCACCGCCCCCTGTAGACATCAGTGCTCACCTGGACATTGGTGACAGCCTCATATTTGGGCTCCTCACCTTATTGTTCCTGCCTCCTTGGTTTCATTTTTTACACTATAGACAGAGAAATCTAAAAATAAATGTTTGCCAGTGTGGTAGCACCTGTATATAATCCCGGGACATGGGAGGCTGAGGCAGGAGGATTGAGTTTGAGACCAGCCTGGGCTATATAGTGAGTTCAGGGCTGGCCTGCACTATACAATGACCCCTTGTCTCAAAAAGCCAAAAAAAGAAAAAGACAAATGTTTGACTTGCAGGACTTAGAATAAAATCCAGACTTAATGACACAGTCTCCAAAGCCTTATATGATCTAGTCCCTGCCTATTTTTTGTATCATCTACATTCACGTTCTCCCTCAGGTGCAGGCTTTTCACATTGGTTGTCCCTAATCCCGACCTGTATGTCCCTTCTTGGGACCCTGCTAAGTCCTACTTATCCATGCAGACACACCACCCCCTCCACAGGACCTTGCGCTTTGTGATACTTGGCCTATCTGAATTTTTTCCCCAGCATCTTGATCTCCTGTGCACTTCGTGGGTCAGGAATCCTGCATTGCCTCACTCTGGCACATAGTAGGTCCACAAGGAGTTGGTTGATTAATGAAAGAGTAGGAGAACCAGCCTGCAGCATCCCTAATGGCCACTCTGCCTCCAGGCCTGTCTTTTCTAGTCCTTTTTCCATAAGCCCCAGAGCAATCTTTCCAAAACACAGAACTGACCCTGTCACCCTCTGCTACTTAAAATACTTCAATGGCTCCCCATTGCTGGCAGGAAAAGGCCTCAGCTTCTTATCATGGTATTCAAAGCGCTTTATGATCTGTGCCCGAGTCCCTGTCCACCCCATCTCCTTGGCTTCCGCAGCACACTTTGAACACCTGGCATTTCCTCCGACACACACACTGGGCTGTTCTGTGCCTCTGTGCACCTGCTCTTGTTGCTCCTTGTGCTTGTGATGCCTCCCCACCCCCTCTGTCTCTGTGGAGAATGTCCTGCACTCCCTAAAAGTGGCTCAGCTTCCTTGCTTTACTGTGAAGCCTGTGCAGACCTCTGTCCCCTGGATATTAGCCCACCCTGCCTTTGCCATATTATAGGGAACCCCATCTCTTACTGTCTCCTGCTGGACTAGGCTCTTCCGGGGCAGGCATAGGATTGGGGGTGTTTCGTTTTGTTTTGTTCATTCAGGGCCTTTGCACTGAGCTACATCCTCAGTCCTTTTTATTTTCTATTTTTAGAGGAGGTCTTACTAAGTCACTAAATTGCCAAGCTAGATTCAAACTGGCAGTCCTCCTGCCTCAGCCTCCCCGGGTGTTTGGATTACAGATGTACCTGATTTATAGATTTGGGGGTTTTTTCCCCCAGGCTTATTCATCATTGTATCTCTGGCTCCCAGCTTTTTTTTCCTGTCTTAATTAAGTCTTTGCTTATATGCAGAAGCCCACTCAAACCAGCTTCAGTAACAAGAAGGGCTTACTATAAGTGTATGTGGATTTTCTGGGATTTGAGGGGAAGGAGGAGTGTGGGCCTTTGGAAGGTAGGACCTGCAATGTTGAGAGAGGCTGAATCAGTCCATCGTACTCTGCTCGGTGTCTCTGCCTTCCTGTCACCACACACTGGACTTCTCTGCTTTTCCAGGCACCAAGCCAGACATAGTCCTTTATTGTGTCCCTTGGTTCCAGACACATTCAGAGATGCAACAACTCAGGGCTTGGCAGATCCATTTCCTAAGTTGCAGGAGAGGATCTGATTGGCTCTGAGGGGGTCAGAGCCAAGCAATTACAGCCCTCTGGGAAGGATCACCAAGTCAGACATGGAACATTTATTTTATTTTTATTTTTATTTTTTTGGTTCCAGAGATCAAACTTATGACCTTGTGCTTGCCAGGCAGGTGGTTACCCTGCTGGTCTAAATCTCCAGCCCTCTTGGTGCCCATTTTAAAAAGGAGGTGGATATCTTTGTTAAATGAGAAAATATTTCATATGGCTTTGCTGGAGTCCTGATTGTACAAGATGAGTGTGGCCAGGTGGGTTGAGCCTCAGTCTTCCCTGTGGACAGCACCTGGAGAAAAAAGACCTCAATTGTGACCTAAAGAGGACTCTTTCTTGGGCAGCAGTGGTCAGAGTGGCCTTTGGAACCTGTCATATATAATTCAGAGGCCTGAGCAGAGAAAGGAGGGGATGAGATCCTGAATTTCCTCCCCTCTCTTTGGATGAATGGAAAGGGAAGAAAAAAACATGAGTGGTCAGAACCATTTTCTCTACCAAAATCTTATGCGTCCTCTGATTCTTAACTCACTTCCTGTCCTCAATGAAGGAGCATACCATGTGCATCCCACTCCCTGCAGACAGCCCTTTTTCACTTATGATGATTGTGTTCTTTGTAATGCTCTAGTAATCAACAGTATTTGACCACTTCTATGCTAGACACTGCATATGTATTATTACATCCTATAAGAAGGCTACTATTGTCACCGCAGTTTTTACAGACAAGGAAACTGAGACTCAGAGGGGTGGCATTTATAGACTAGGGAAATAGCAACGTGACTGCAGAGTAAAAGTTGTTAATCTCT